TCCCTCCTAATGAAACGCTGGAGGACTTCTGTTAAAGGTAATGTAACTAACGTGCTGTAGCACAATGTTCTGGAGCAAAAGCTTCTCAGCAGTTGGACTCTGCTTAAGGAGGCCTGAATCTGAATGCTGGCTTTGTCCCTTGCTGGGTGTGTGAACCTGGGCAAGTGGCTGAAGTTTCTCTATGCCTTTGAAAATAAGTTGAATCTAGAATGGATCTATAAGGGACTTATAGTTCAACTCTAAGTTGAATATATAATGGAATCTATAATATGCAGGGTCATTGAAAGTGTTAGTGAGATCACCTCTGTTTAATGTCTGATACATTCTAGGGGCTTCACTGAGAACAGCCATTGTTATAAACAATTGACAGGACACAGATCATTTGATTCAGTCTCTACAACAACAGTATAAGGAAGGCACTGTGGCTGTTACCATTTTTGTATGAGGAACTGGAGGTCTAGTGAGGTTTCCCAACTCCCTCCAGGCCACATGGTCAGTAAGCATCCAAGTTCTGATCCTGACCAAGGCTGACAGCCCAGGATTTTGGTAATTAGCAAGTTGTATAACATTTCTCCCAAGAACAGCAGAAGCTTAGCTGGGTAGAGTAAGGTCCAGAACTTCTGCACCCTCTTGCATAATCCTCTTCTTGGCCATCTGAGGTTGTTGGATTTAATAAATATACTGGCTTACTGTTTGCAAGGCATAGTGGAAGTGCTATAAGGCTAGGACAGGCAATGCAAGGTCAGTTTGTATCGTGCTTGTTTTCTAGATCAGTTCAGAGGGATATTGCTTCATCTCACCTCTTTCAAAAGATTTTGTGAAAAGTATTTCTTTCTCCTTTTTATTAAACCACATTCTTTTGCTGACATAGGTAAATAGACCATACCAGTTATCTATTGATCTATCCATATTCTATTCTCTGTATGGATTTCTTCTAGGAGATGGAAGGGCAAGAACATGAAGGTATAAGAGTCTGTACCTTCCCCTTCCTTACCAAGAAAAAGAAACAGTTCTGCTTGTTTAGTTTGCTTGGACTACTCTTTTCTGGTTATTGCAGAGAGACCGATGGGCTCCTTGACAGGGTTTTATGGAGACAGAGAAAGAGTAGTTACCTAGGGTTGGAAAGGATCTTAGAGGCCTTTGAGTCAATTGCCCTCTCAATGGAGACATTGTGCAGGAATTCTTGAACAGTCCCAGAGGGTTTCTGCCAAAGGAGAGTTTATCTCACCACTTACCAGCTCTGTCTCCCACCACACCCACCAGGAAATGTGAGGCTCTCGTTATAGACTGCAGAGTCGTGCAGGAACCGGTGCCCATTGGGATATTGGTTCTTTTTTGTTGTTGTTGTTTTGTTTTTGTTTTTCGAGACAGGGTTTCTTTGCGTAGCTTAGTGTCTTTCCTGGAGCTCACTTGGTAGCCCAGGCTGGCCTTGAACTCACAGAGATCCGCCTGGCTCTGCCTCCCGAGTGCTGGGATTAAAGGCGTGCGCCACCACCGCCCGGCTCATGATACTGGTTCTTACTGTTTGTCCACTGTACTCTCCCCAGCTACACTGACTTCCCTGAACATACTAGCCCGCTCCTACCACAGGGCCTTTGCACTTACCACCCCTTTGAAGACATTCCTGGGCCCTCCTTATTTTTTCCAGCCTTCTGATCAGATGTCATCTTTGGGAAAAGACCTTTGTCACTGTCTAATAGATTGTTGCTACTCTTCTGCTCTAGTTTCTTTATCAATTGCCAACTACTCGATACTCTATTTCTTCTCTTACCAAAATGTGGGGTATACATGGTAGAGACTATATCCTCAGTATATAACACATATTGGGCACTCAATGAAAGTTTGTTGAATGAACACATGAATGAGTGACTTAATAGAGAGTGTAATAGAGACGCCCCCCATTTCAGGCTCCTAGTTTTATAGTGATATCTTAGCATAACATACCCAGAGGTGTCTGGACAGCACCATACTCGGCAGAAATAAATAAATGGGGAGTCATCACCTATTAAAGGAGCCTAAGATCAGGCAGGGTCCCTGAGAGCTGTGGGCAAGCATGGGCACCCGTGGACCTTGGCTCTCACAAAACTCCTAGGTGCCTTCTGCAAAAGTCGTTGTTAATGTTAGCTTCTCTTTATGTGGATGTATATTCAAGAATGTGTATTTCTAGAAGGTTATTCCAGATAGATTAATTCCTCTGTCTCTGACTAATGCTGTCTCATTTTTAATGTCTTAATTTTACCCTGTCAAGATACATTTAGGAACTACCTATGGAGACCAAGCTGCTTCGAAATCATAGAGATCTGGCTGTCTCTGCCTCCCAAGTGCTGTGATTAAATGTGTGTACCACCACACCTGGCTGGGTTACATTTAAATTTAATTCTGTCCATGGCAGCTAGCTACTCACTGAAATGTTGATTTCAAGAACATTTTAAACTTGTGGTTCAGGAACCAAGAAGCTACCACTTCTCCTCTGGAGAAGTCCCTAGACGGACTTATGTCAGCGGATTTTTCTTTGGGCCCGCCAGCTCATGACACAGAGACTCATTATTAATTACAATGCTTGACCTATATATAGCTCAGGCTTGTCCCACTAGTTCTTATAACTTAAATTAGCCCATTTCTATTCATCTACGTGTTGCCATGTGACTTGTGGCTTCACCTCTCCTCTTGCTTCCTCTGCATCTGGCTGGTGACCCCTCCTTTCTTCTTCCCGGAGACCTCTCTGTCCCCAGAAGTCCCACTTAAACTCTTCCTGCCTAGCTATTGGCCATTCAGCTCTTTGTTAAACAAATCATAGTGATACATCTTCACACCGTGTAAAGGGATATTCCGCAACAGACTCACTCTTTCTGTCATGTGCAGCCATTGGAAGAAGACAGTCTTTTATGAGGACCTGGGCTTCCCAGATGCTGTCTACTAGGGCATTGTTTCATTGATCCTGGACCTCCAGCCTCTTCTGAACAGTAAATTTCTTGTATATACAAACCAACCACTTTTTGGTATTTTGTTACATTACCTCAAAGAGTCCAAAACATTTCATCTCCCAATTAAAACATGTGGGTTTTTTGTTTTGTCTTGTCTTGTCTTGTTTTTCTTTTTCTCTCTCTCTCTTTCTTTCTTTCTTTCTTTCTTTCTTTCTTTCTTTCTTTCTTTCTTTCTTTCTTTCTCTCTCTCTCTCTCTCTCTCTCTCTCTCTCTCTCTCTCTCTCTCTCTTTCAACTTTGGTATTTCTAATACTAAGGAATCCTGTACCAAGCAAGGTTTCATAAGCTTTAGCCAACCTTGTGAAGGGCGTTTACTATGTCTGTGTTGAATCAGTATAATATGACTTTGTAAACTTGGTTTTCCTGAGTTGAGGGAAATTGTCTAACAATGGCAAGGATTATTTTCTGGTGGCATAGGAATTTTGAAATAACATGCCAAGGTCCTTGTCACTTGCTCATGGCTGGTATTGCTGTTTTGGGGTCACAACAAGGCCAGCTGAGATCAGAGGTTCCTCTGTGGTTTCTGGTATGTTCACCATACACTTGTCAGTTCCTCTGCTTTCGCAGTGACTCGGGTCCTTCTCCACGCAGCTGAGAGCCCCATTTTACCAGGGCTTGCTAGTTTTCTAATCTTCATTGGGGACTGGAGAGAAAAGATGACTTTCCCACTAAAGAGAGCCTGGACCTTAGGAATATTGTCTGATCCGTTTGATCACACTCATTGACAATGATAATATCATAAAAGCTTTATGAACATGAAGCAAGATGATCCGTGTAAATTGTCTGGGAAAGTATAAGCCCTTTCTGAAGAGCAGCTGCCTGCCACACCGGAGGTTTGCTGCAAGCCAGTGATGTTACCATGTCTGCTCCTTGTCTGAAATTTCCAACTCTTTGCTTCTGGTTTATTTGCCCCCAGTGTTCTTCATTCACTTATCCACTTTTAAAAAAAATCTATCTTTAACTCGCTGTATTAAATCTCTCTCTGCTGCATGAACTGCCTCCATCTTCCAGTCAAAGGTGCTTTAGAAATGGTGGCTGCCCACAGCCCTTTGCTCCGTTCATTGCGGGATGTCGGACAGTGAATGAATCTTCCCTCTGTCTCACGGGGCTGGGATTTTTTTTTTATTTTACTGTTAGTTCCTGAAATGCAAAGTATTATTGCTCTTAAATCCCCACAGCTGCCCCTCGTATTATTCGTAGTTCGTTGCCATTAAGGCTCAAGTTTTATAAGCAAGAACTGGATTCTCTTATAGGCTGTTATCCCTGACGGTAACATGAAACATGAGACCCGATGAAAGGGCTAAAAAGGCTGACAGAGTCTCAGGAAGTCATCTTCTCAGGGATATGGAGGGATCGTTCACAGACAGAGGTACACACCGCAACTGAAATGCTTTGTCTCTCCTGTGTGGAGTTACATGCACAGGGGAAGTGGGGTGACCCTGGAGACAACTTTGAACATTCATCCTTCAGAACCAAGATCAAAGTTGATGCTGTTTTTCTGTGGATCGAATACTTTGGAATTTTCTTTTCTACAGATTTAGTCTTGCTAGCTTGCATGTGTGTTTGAATCACTAGCTTGTATGTGTGTTTGAGTGTGTGTGTGCATGCACTCGTGTGTGTGTGTGTGTGTGTGTGTGTGTGTGTGTGTGTGTGTCTATGTACCTTATGCTGACTTGGTACTTGTGATTCTCCTACCTCAGCCTCCCAAGTGCTGGGATCATAGGTGCTCACTACTACACCAGGCTGCTAGTGGTGTGTGTGTGTGTGTGTGTGTGTGTGTGTGTGTATGCGTGTTATTTATTTATTTGATCATTTAATCATTTATTTATTTATTTATTTATTTATTTATTTATTTATTTATTTATT